TGGGCCGTACAAAATGATCATCTTAAAAATTAGCCCGAAATATTTGGTCAGACATTTAATTCACTCACCCCTAATGCCTTGGCAGGGCCGGACCTTACACAGCCTGAGGGCCAGGCGTTCCCCACCCCTGTAATCTAAATGATGTATCTGGGATTTGAAACCAGATCATCCTGGCTCAAAACCCATGCATTTTACAGAACAAAAAAACTCCTCTTTCCTACACAAGTTTTGAAATAACAGAACCGGGAGGAAAAGTATTTTCGTAGGGGAGGATACTTTCTCTGTAGCTTCAAATAATTGACCAAGAAAAACCACCCCATTTCAACGAACACCACAAGGGGGAGCTATGACCTAAAAAGCTTAGGTAAAATAGATGAAATATCTCATTTGGGTCATGACTTCCTTTAGGAAGATAAATCTGAATGAATATTTTACCATAAGTGACTCTTTCTGAGAAACAAATCTGACCATACCGACCCCCATCCCTAACAGTGTAACACACCAAGATATATAACTTCCTTTATGCCTGACCATTACTCTGCATTTGAATGACACAACAAAGCTTCCCTGGCTCCCCCAAATAAACTTTTCTTTATGCCTCCATCTGCTCGAACATGTTATTTCTTCTGACTGCACACTGCCCGGTCTCTCCTCCACACCCACCCCAGCCCCTCACCCCCACCGTCCTTCTATTCAACAACAAACTACACATCAAACTCCCACTGGCCCTTCAACTCTGCCCCAAACATGTCTCAGCCCACTTCTGACCTTCTCTGACCTTTCTCCCACCACAGCGAATCGATTTATTCAACACAGTGCTCACCACCAGGTAAACACTCTCTTTCGGCCTGTATGAAAGTATGTTCAGGTGGATGTCTCTATTTCCTTGCCGTGTTTTGCAGCGGTGCATGTGCCCAACTCGGGCACACAGAAATCCTCCTAAGTGCTGCGCTGACCTAAGAGCCCATCAGAGTCACGTAGCTGAGGCCCTCTTCAAAGAATCGGGAGTCAATTTCAGAAAAACACCTTAGCTTTCTCACCTCATGCTCGAAATCAACTTAAAAACTGTAATCAGCCGAAACCGGTTTGGCTCAGTGGATAGAGCGTCGGCCTGCGGACTGAAAGGTCCCAGGTTCGATTCCGGCCAAGGGCATGTACCTGGGTTGCGGGCACATCCCCAGTAGGAGATGTGCAGGAGGCAGCTGATCAATGTTTCTAACTCTCTATCTCTCCCTTCCTCTCTGTAAAAAATCAATAAAATATATTTTTAAAAAAATAAAAAAACTGTATCATCAACATTCTATTTGAGAAAACCATGTCTGTCAAACTTACCGTCTTAGTCAAATAAACCATGACAGGCGTGGCGCTAGCTGGCTCTTCGGCATGTACTTCTAGTTGCTCTTTTCCATCAACAGCATAGTCAGGAGTGCTTTCGGTTACAAATATCCCTAAAGTTGAGGGGGGGAAAGGAATATGTTATTGTACGCTTTAGAATAAGAATTGTTTCTCTTCACTTACAATATTTACGAGTGCCCACTATATAGTAGTCACTGTGCCGGGACCTGTGGCTGTTAAAAGACGATTATATAGAGAGGAAATCTCAGAATTCCCATTGGGGCCAGCAAAGCCTTCAGTTATAAAGGAACATAGCTCCGCCCTCGCTGGTGTGGCTCAGTTGGTTGGGATTAATCCTGGGCACCTAAAGGTTGCCCGTTCGATTCCCAGACAGAGCACATGCCTGGGTTGTGGGCTCAAATCCCGATATTTTGCTCTCTCCCTCTCCCTTCCTCTCTCTCTAAAAAAAATGTTGTTTTTAAAACAACTTTCTCAGTTCAGACGAAATGAGTTGCTCTCCCACTAGACGTTCGCTGTGCTCTGTGATCCAGTTACTGTTCACAAGTGTCCGTCTCCACTGGACCATCCCACCCTGCTACGTTCTGTACTGTTTCCTGAACTCGTACAGTATAACGACATATGGACATAAATACCCCGTCCCCGTGTTTTTTTATATATATTTTTTATTGATTTTTACAGAGAGGAAGGAAGAGGGATAGAGAGCTAGAAACATCGATGAGAGAGAAACATCGGTCAGCTGCCTCCTGCACACCCCCTACCAGGGAGGTGCCCGCAACTAAGGTGCATGCCCTTGACTGGAATCGAACCTGGGACCTTGTAGTCAGCAGGCCGATGCTCTATCCACTGAGCCAAACCAGTTAGGGCCCTTCCCTGTTTTAAAAAAAGTTTTTTTTACCATGTCCAGGTAGCATATCAACAAAAGAACTGAGCTACACTGTGTTCTACTTCGGGGGAGGTGGAGTGTGGAATGGGTGTGAAACACTGAATTTGTGAGTTTTGGAGCAGCGGTTCTCAAACTTTCAACCAATCAGAATTTCCTGGAGGGCTCGTTAAACTCTGATTGCTGGTCTCCACCCTGAGAGTTTCTGCTGCTGCTGATCTGGTTGAAACTGTTTTAGAGCCTAAGGCTTTTAAAGTACATTTTAGTTTAAAATGATTTGCCTGCCAAAACCGATTTGGCTCAGTGGATAGAGGTCGGCCTGCGGACTGAAAGGTCCCAGGTTCGATTCCGGTCAAGGGCATGTACCTTGGTTGCGGACACATCCCGAGTGGGAGGTGTGCAGGAGGTAGCTGATCGATGATTCTCTCTCATCGATGTTTCTAACTCTCTATCTCTCTCCCTTCCTCTCTGTAGAAAATTAATAAAATATATTTTTTAAAAAATAAATAAAAATAAAATAAAATAAAATGATTTGCCTAAGCCAGTGGTCAGCAAACTGCGGCTCGGCAAACTGCTGCTCAGCAAACTGCAGCTCGCAAGCCACACGCAGCTCTTTGGCCCCTTGAGTGTGGCTCTTGCACCAAA